CTGTCCTGTGCCAATCACACTGTCTCCGACACTCCCATCCCAATTATCCCAATCACTGAATCAATCCACCTCATAGAGGGCCTTCCTCTCCTGCTATTTTATCAAAATTCCATTCATTAGTTCTTTGTACCATTTCCATTAATTAAATAACAATTGAATTTACATATTCACAGCATTAAAAGTCATGTATAAAAATCAGGCATAGATTTTTAAGCTAATTTTATTTTTTTAATATCAACTATCATGTTAGAAGATTGTTTATACTGTGGAATTTATTACCTATTTATTTAAATTCCTTTCTTTCACTTTTCTCCTGGTACATCTGATTGCAAAGAGTATGTATTTATCAGCACAACAAATACCCAAAAAATACTGAACTCATAATACTTCAAATTAAAAAAAAAACACAAAACAGTCTGAAAAGAATCTGTTTCCCATAGTGGGATATTTATTCTACATTTCAGTTGCTAAATTATGAAATTTTCTTCATGTCTAAAAAAATAAAAAGGGAATTCAGAAAAACAATTATTTCATTCTCTTTAATTCAATGACTTGAACTATCAGAATTAAAACACATATTAAAATAAATACTATTTAACCAAATCTAAAAATATCCAAACCATTATATAGATAACATATAAATGAATGCATAAATATTATGTATATAAAAATGAAGCAAACTAATAATTATGTACTACTCAGTAGGCATAAATAGTGTAGGTTTAAGAAATTGACTAAAACCTTGAAGTTTATGGAATATGATTTTGTTTCGGGACATTAGACACACAGAGAAAGAAAGTTCTGTTGGCATAGTAGTATATGTTGGGTTGCTAACTGAAAGATTGTTGGTCTGAATCCACCAGTAGCTACATGAGAGAAAGATGAATGGGTCATCTCCCATCAGTATTTACAGCCTCAGAAACTGCTGGAGAGTCACCTTCGAATAGATTCAACAGTAATGGATTTAGTTTCTTGTTCTTGGGTAGGAACACAGGAGAGAAGCACTGTGCTCTCCACACCCATTGAGGGTTTATTCGGTGAGCTTTGGCAGAAGAAGAGCTATTTCCACGTATTAAACCTATGATTTTACATAACCAATAGCTGGAAAGTGGCCTCTGAATGGAGAAATGTGGAGAACACTTTGGCACCAATTGAAAGTTCCCTTAGAGTCTAACCTTGAATATACTGACAGGACTCTGATAATTCTAATTAGTGCTCACAAGATTAACTTTGTCTAGTGCAGTTTAATTTTCTGTTGTCATTCTCATTGCTAATAGCAGAGAACTGGACCTGGAACTACCCACCCCCCCCGCCCCGAACTGTGTATACTGAACTATAAAAAGGGTTCGATATTAGTTATTTATCCACATATTCCACTTAACCCATGGCATATTTGCAAACTATTTGCTTTTGTTGTCTGAAGAATTAATTTTTTGGCATTATTAGCTCTTCACTTCTCATTTCATGTCTGTTGCCTAAATACTGAGAATCTGTTTGCTGTATGAACCCTGCTTTATTATTTTTTTTCATTATTATATCGTCTTCCCTCTTCTGTAAATTTCTTAAGCATTTCTTTTTCTGTTGAAACTTAATATTTCTTATGTTCTTTCTAATCGAATATGCTTCCCACTGATCCTCACTGATTTTCTTTGGCTTTAAAGGCATTTATTGCTCTTTTCCTGATAATGCTTCCTTAGCTCTCTGTTCCACTTAGCCTTAATTCTTCCTTCATCTATGCCTTTGCTCTCATCCAGTGCTGTTAGAAAGGAATCTCCGATTTCATTGCATCCTTCCTCCTCCACTTTGTCCCAACCACTTCCTCTTTTATTACCTTCTGATCGTCTTTTAATGGATCTCCCTTACCTATTCTGCTGAGAACTGAGATTTTTTCACACCCTTCCTTAAGGCCACCTATTCTTTACCTCTTCCTTTAGCAACTGCAGTATCAGCCAACTCTAGATGGGAATCTCACCAGGAAAGCTTTAATCACAATTTAGTAGCTGAAGGGTTGCTGCTGTTCCAGACCCATTTATTATGGCCACTCTTCTTCAGAGAATGTAAAGAACGTTAATGCACATTCACTGTCAACAGCAGTGGAACATACATTTGCATTCATCTATCCACCAGATGTTTGGAGAGAAATATAAACCTGGAAATTCTCAGCATTATGTGTTATGCAGTTCTTGAAAGCTAGACAAATTTCTTTTAATACTTATTTTTCCAGGAAAGGCAGTGGCCTGAATGAGAGAAAAGTCTTAAGTATGCAAGTATGCATAAACTGTAGATGAAATCTTTAATGCAACATGGGCAACTCTCACTTTCAGTGAGAAAACATTTGTGTTGCAGTGCTCCAATTAACACAAAACACCTTCGTAAATGATGAGGGTGACAGGCTGTTTTAAACACTACATCTACCACCGCCTTAAACAATGGATGCAAATCACATTTTCAATATGCTAGCAAATGCCATATTATTCCAAATCATGAAATTGAACATTTCCCCCTCCATTTAAAAATACAGGCAAAGTATTTTAACTGCTCTTAGAAGTAAGCACAGGAATATAATGCACAGCTGAGACTGGTTGGGGAAGGAGAAGAGAAGTGACTTATGCAATTTCTTGGCTGCTCTGAAAGCATAAGTGATCACATACCTAATAAAATTTCACAGTTGAATAAGAATTACACTTATACACTCTAATTAAAATGTCTATACCCAGTTCATATGAAAATAACAAATTGTTCCAAATGCGTAGCATGACACAATTCAATAACAGCCACAGTTGAAGTTGCTGCTAACACTACCTGGACAGAGGGCAGTGTTATTGCAAACCCTTGATTCTCTTAATGGGCCGCTGCAGTGTGTCCCGTAAGGTGATACACAAGTTCTGGTTCGCACCTGCGACCCTTGACCACAAGTAACTGAGCATGAGCTCCACTGGGACCACTCTTCCACACCAGATTCACCTGCGTGTAAGACAACAAATAAACATGAAATAACTCCTTGAATATTCATATAGAAAGCATCATATCAATCTGACATTATGGCATGCAAGGGGATTTTGTAATGTAAAAATGTGACAATACATCAAAAGATAACACACTTCAGAGGAAAAGAAATTTCACGACAGGATGTGTAAAATGCTGATGTGAGGGGTGTGCTTGCTATAACCTTGTTAACAAAGCTCTTCTTCATAAATTTCGTTTTGCTGTGGATGCTATGAAGTAGTCAGCGTTTTTCAACAAGAAGGGTTTTGAGACGATTTTCTTCAAGCCAGTCCACAGCTGTGCATGATGTTGGGTCAGGAAGCAAAATGCATCACTGTACCTACTTTTTTTTCTCCCCATGGGCTTGAATATATTGATGTGCTCATTCTGATATTTTTAATTCTATTACTACTGGCCTCCTTTCTAGTACTACAGGAAATGAACTTCTTTTCATTGTGTTGAACATTGGCACTCATTTATAATTAAAATGCCTCCTTCAATTCCTATTTTTTCATTCTAAGATAGCTATTTATTTTGCGGTAATTTTTTTAAAACCGCTGCTCTCAGTTTTCCCTATGATTGAAAACACAACAATGATTCTGACTTGAAATGGAGAAAAATTCCTCTCAGGTTTCTATAAATTTAATGTGGAGCTAAAAGTAACTCAGAAATAGAGCCCTAAAAAGGCAATGAATGTCTGAATTCATTAGTTTTTCGAACAAAGCACCATGTTAAAGCTATGCCTAATTTCTATTATTATCTGAAGTCATGTCTGGAGGAGATTAAAAGTCAAGTGTTTCTAAGACCATCACAGCAGGCTTTTAGCCCTGGGCTCAGGATAGATTTTCTTAAAGTTATTTCAAAAGTTGCAGTTACTAGCAGAGACTATTTTAACTAACCATTTAGGTGTTAAAAACTTCACAGGTGAGATGTTTCTGAGGATGTTGTATCACTGATTATATAGATCAGGGGACAATTGAATGGTATGGTTTTGGGGTTCCTCTTAGAATTGGCCTTCAGAATGGAATACAAAGACAAAGATATGATAAACCACTTGCCCATCTTTTCTCATTTTGGCTGTTAGTAAGTGGGCTACAGTGTGACATTTGGTCTACAAACTGGTTGTTAGTGGTGATCCAGGATAGAAGAGTTTGCACCAAAATGTAATTCAGCAAACTAATTTTATCATTGAGATATTCCTGCTTGGAAAGAAAAAAAGTGAATTGACTAAAACATGCATTTAATGGAGAAATCAATGTAACATTCTGACTAAAGCTCCTTATGTCCTATATGACTCATAACAATCTAATGGCTATTCAACATTGGGTATCTGACCACGCTTTTGTTCTACGGAGAACAATTATGAAGTATTTACTCTTTTACAGGTCAGCACTCAAGTGATGTAGAAGATAATGTCTTTGCAAGTATACATATAGACATAAGGATTTGACAATAATTACTTGGCTAGTATTTGATATTAGATAGGAATGCCAGTGATCAGGGTTTGTCTTGAAAACAATGCACACCTTTACTGACTTCAGTATTTTTGCCCTCACAAGTTTATAACTTAACTTCATAGAAAACTTTTCTTAACAACTATTTGCAGAACAGTTATAATCATGCCTCATTTAATTGTTATTTTACATGTGAATAGTACTCTGGGAAGACTGAAGATTCTTTTTCTACAAACTAATTTATTAGATAATGTTTAAAACTGTATGCACACACACATATATAAATATATATGCATTGATGCACACACATATTGATCATGAAAATATAAGCTAAAAGTAAGTGAAAATATGCAATTTTTCTCCTACGGTATTGCAACCTGTATATGTGATTACCTTAAGTAGAAGCATATAGTTTCATGTTATGAATTAAGAATCAGAATATAATGGACAATGTAAGTTTTATAGTAAGTAAAAATGTTAAAAGTTATGAATAATAAAAGAAACTCTGGGTGGCATAGTTGGTAATATGCTGTGACGCGCTGATAGCTGAAGAGTTATGAATAAACGTCGTTATGTTTGGCCACAAAAGGAGACTGTATTCAGCCATACATTTTTATTATGGTAGGAAAAAGCTTGTGCCATTAAATGAAGAAATAAATCAGGATCAAGAACTATTTTTAAATGTATTTTTGTACAAATATTTTAAAAGGTTGAGCTAGTTCTGAATGCATGAACACAAAATATTTTAAAAGGTTGAGCTAGTTCTGAATGCATGAACACACTGCCTATTGAATATCTGCTGCCTCTAGATGGTGAACAGATTGTATACATCCATCAGTGCACTGCAACCATGTTGAACCAGCTAAGCCATAGTACTCAGACCATGAAAGGCTGAGAATCAAAGTTTAAAACTGGCCTTTTTTGCTCTTCCTCAGTTTGACGGTTCATTTTCTTGATAAAAACAAAACATAAGCAAGTTTTCAATTTTGAGTTTAATTTTTGCCACTGAAATGCTGGTCTACATTCATGAATAATCATGTTACTCTCTTAATATTATAATAATGGGTTACACTCCTATCAAAAATCCTGAAGTCTTCCATCTCCCACTTCCTCATTCCTAAAAAAAAGTGTGAAGACTATGCTAATTGAACACATCAGATAATTTTGAGAAACAGCTAATACTCTTCAAAAGAATTGTTTAAAAATACTTTCTGATATTAAAAAAAGTCCTATTATTAATATATTTGTCTTGAGAGATGGCACAAACTAATTTGGTACCCTGTCTCTGAGAAGACATATTAAAGATCACGCCAAAGGCTTCAGTATTTAAGACACTATTAAGAATCTTAACCTCCCACCAAAAAATAAATTTAAAAAAGGAAATAGGAAAATTATTGTAATTGAAGTCAGAAGATCTGATGAAAATTTTAATATTATCTTCTGTGACTTTGGGAAAGTCACTAATTTCCCAGAGCCACTTCAATAAAACAAGTTATACATCTACCTAGCATTGCACTTGTAATAATTAAATGAGATAATGTGTGAATGCTTTTTTATATTATAAATATATTAATAATGTAAGATTTTGGCAGTATGTAAAAATCATGAGATTAAAACATATTTCCATTTTCTTGTTCCATTTTAGATAACAAATGACACATTTCCAAGGTAGACATTCACTCCATGTTAACAAAATATCAGTTATCTTAAGAGGTTTTAAAAATACTTTGCTGATTACCATGATTATTAAAAAAGGTCATTAAGTGTAAGTGTTTTAATCTGTCTTGATGGAAATTAATTTAGATCTGTGTCTATAATGCCATTGCATTTCTCTGGACCACAAATGCAGGTTATGTTGTGGGTTATAGATAGAGGCAATATATACTCAAACTGGTTTTATTTCAATTATTGGAGTGATAGTGTTATAATCAGATATTTTGAGAAATTAATAATCCCTTATGAGATACTAATTTTTTTGTTTTTTTTAAAATACTCCTTTACATAAAGCTTTGGTTATTTTTTTAAAAAATATTGATTAAAGATGTCAACCTCTTTGAATAATTATTAATTACAAGATTTGATAGTTTTGCTTTGTTTTTATTTTCATATATAAAAAAGAGATACTAGCTTCTATTATTTTTTTCTCAGCTGCATTATATTTTACTCTAAAATTAATGTTAAATGCTTGTGCTTTTTTACAAATAAAGAGAAATGTTTTCTAAAATGAATTTAAATTTTGTAAAATTTCATTGTCTGACATTTGCTTTTATTCAGACTAATATCTAAAGAGAATATAATTTCAGGAACTATTAAAGCAAGTAACTTATCTTTTTAGTATTATAACTTCCTAGTATCTCCCTTCAGTAACTATCTATATTATTCTAAAAATTACAACATTATGACCATTCAAAACAATTCTGTTTTCAAGTCTTATAGTAATATTATTTTAAGACAGTAATTTAATTTTAAAACAAGAATGATATATTTGTTTGTAAAATTGATTTACAATTATGGTTTAAAATTAAACAACAAATACTTATTATTCATAAATGAAACAGCCAATCAAAATGTTCAGAACTTTAATTCTGCCATCCAGTGTCTTGTTTTTTTAAATTCTTCTTAATAATACAGGAAAATAGTTTTAAAGCTCTTCCAGGCTTTACTTAATAAGTACTTGTACTTTAGGATTTCTGGTGGTATATGTTTGCCTTCTCTGTTGTGCTGCTAATCAAAAGGTTAGCAATTTGAATCCATCAGAAGCTTTGAGAGACAAAAACAAGGCAATAACCTCCTGGGAAGATATACATTTTTGGTCACCATGAGGTGGAATCAAATCAGTGACTGTGGGTTTGAATTTTTATTGGTTTGGTAACCTATCTTACTAAATATATGTTGTTATAACATAAATTAAATATAAAATTATAGCTGAGAGCATATGGAGAGAATGAAAAATGATAAATTAATAATCTTTTCCTTAGAAATCACAATATTCCTTGTGATTTGAACGTACATGGTTGAAAATTATGTTTGTGAATTTTCTTGTGATAAGTAATAGACAGATCCAAAATCTGGGTTCATACTAAAAAGTTCTGGGCAAATTATGAAATATTTATACATAATCTGATTTTATATATGACTCCACAAAACTAAAATTATGGCTTCGTATTTCATTCCCACCCAACTCTAACATTCAAGAACTGCAGTTAACCAGTACTTGCTTTCCGTTTGGTACTAAGGAGTGGAGGGCACCTTCTCTCTTCCTGAAGAAATGTTGTAAAGAGAGTGTGTCTGAGGGAGGTTGAATAGTCATTTGAGTTTCTACTTAGAGTCAAACATCTCCTAATCTCTCTGCTCAATGATTTAGACTTTTGCTACCAGTTAAGTAGAAAAGTACAGTCAAATTTTGGAAATTTGCCTGGTAATGTACTTCTGGCCTTGTTCAAATAAATAGTCAAAAAATAAATAATTTATTCCCAAATAGATGCAATCTGAAGAATTACTTTTTATCCACTTCTGGATTTGGTTGTAATGTATAACTCTAAAAATACCTAAAATTAGGCCTTTATTGTAAAATTTATATTACATACCCTTCTTGTTCTAAGAATTCTAACTTGGACTTACTTGATACCATTTTATTGATACCTACTACTCACCCATCACCAAGAACAAAATTCATTAAAAGTGTTGCATTTTAAAGTTGTAGATTCAGAGTTAGTATTCTGAATAAATATTATCCTAAGTATACTTGAACTGAAGGAAGTAATTCATTCTTCAATGGGATTTCATCAGTCATTCTTATTGTGTGCTTGAAACGTCTGTATTAATGGTAAAACAAGCCATCTAGATTGCAATACATAAAACTTGTGAAGACAAAGATGAAATTGTTAGTTTTTAATTTTCCAAAATAAAGTTGAGAGCTGAAAATGTTCATAACACAGTTTAAACTTTTATTTCACCTAAAAGTGTGCCAAATACAGGTAGAATTACATTTCATTAATCAGGATTCAAAATATCTTTCATTTCCTTGTTCAAACTCTATAAACAAATAAATGGGTATAACTGCAATACATTAAGAACATATGTTAGATAAATGTCCATTATGTGCATGTATGTGTATAAATTATGTACACAAAAATGTATAACGCATAGCATATGTTATAAAATATACACATACACATACTGAGACACTTATAAATAATTAATACATAATTATAAAAATTATAAATCAGAATATCAGTTTAGTTTATAATTATTTGGAATGAATTACAGTTTACAAATAAAGACAGTAAACTTTTATTATTTAAGTTATTTAACAAAACTCTTCAAGATTATTGAATTCTTAAAAATGATTTCAACTAATTGCTAGACATTTAAACAATCAGTTAATATTTTATATAGGAAATATTAAATTTGAGAAATATTCAAAATACTAAATTTTGTCAAATTAAATTTCATTATCCAAGGTCCTATTTAAGAGTCTAATCTTCTAAAATTCCATACAAAAAATTACTGAAAAACTTTGTTTTTACTTTTATAAAAGTTTTAATGACACATTTTAAGTAGTTAATAAACATAAATGAAAAATAATATGTAAATTCTAAATGTCTCAATCTTGGAAGTATAATAATTTCACTATATCATTTTTGTGCAGTTTTCAGTTCACAGCTACTTTATTTATGGACTTTAACTGGTGACCAAAATAAAAATGGTTCAAAAAAAAATATCAGCTCCAAAAACTGACAAATGTGCAGCAAAAGATCATGAAAACATGCAGTGGTTTCATTAAAGTAACAACAATAGATAGAAAAATGTAACTAACGTATTACCAGTTTGTGCCATAAATTTAGCAGCATCAGCTTGTTCCTGAGGGACCCTTTTTTCATGAACAGATCGAGGTCGCTGACTTTTAATTGTATGATCTCCCATCATTCCAAATTCTAAAGACAGAATAAAGGTATATGAAAGCTTGTGTGTAGACATTTCTCACAAATTACATTACTGACTCATGCAATATGTTCCTCTACATACTTAGAGATTACTGTTCAAATTCTCAGTTTCTAAATGGCTAGACTGATCTTTTGGAATATATTTAAAATCAGAAATCCTACTAACATGAATAAGTTTCAAAAACAATATTGACAGTCAACAAAATGACACGTTAGGGTTTAAGTCAGCTCAATCAGCAGAAATATTGTACTCTTTTCTGATAGTTTTAAAGCAATTCCTTAGAATAAATACAACCATAGTGATAACTCTTCCTTTTAAGAGATGGAATCCTGACTAGTTAACATCTGAGTCTTTGCTGTATACTAATCATCCATGTCTTTTTTTCACAGTTTTCTTAAGGAATGAGGAATTGGATCTCCTGACTTTTCTGTGTTAAACATTCACTTAGTGAGAGAGGTTGTCCTTGATGTCATCAAAGGATCAGGAAAAAATGGTTGCTGTGGTAATCTTTATTCATTCATACAATTACCCAGAATAATTCTTCACCCCCTTTTTAACCATTTGTGTATTTCTCTAGGTATTATTTAACTATTAAAGGTAAAGTGTCTGGTTTTCTGGTATTTAATACTTTGATAGTATAAACTGAGTAAACATTAAAAAAAAATCAGGGGGAAATGGGAAAGGAAAATAAAGATTAGTCAAACAAAAGAAGAATTTTAATCAAATGCATTTCAAAAAATTCAAATGCTTAGAATTTGCAAAGGAGGTATTCAATTGTTCTGCTACTATCAAAAAATTTTGAGCCTAATGTATGTGGTAATTATTGGCTTCTCTAATAGGAGTTGTTGTTGTGCACCATGGAGTCGAAATTGACCCATAGCTGTACCTCCAGTGGGTTTTCAGAGACAGTTAATTGCAGAGGAGGAGAATGCGTATCCTTCTTCCACTGGGCAACTGATGGCCTCGAACCACATGCCTTTGGTATTACAGTGCAATTTCTTGCCACTAAGCCACTGGAGCTCCCTCTCTAATAGAAATATAGGTAGATAAAATAAATTTCTGAGGGGGAAGATAGGGTGATGCCTTCTCCTGTATCAAGGAAGTTATTGGGTCCTAAAGACCAGGTTTTTTATGCATCATAAAACTGCTTACATCAACCATGGGCAAATGATAATGATATCTGAGAACTATCTTCAATAATAATTAGCTTCAGTAATTTGAAAATGAACCATTTTTTACCAGCTTATTGTTTAGTCTTTCTCATCCATTTTTAAGTAATATTCTTCTGAAATATAAAACTAACATTTTATTATTAAACAATGTGTTTGTAAGCCCAAATGCTACCAACTGTTGTCTTCTACATTGTTGTGGCATGATGGGTAGAGAGAAGATGACCACAGGTTGTGTTGATTTACGTTTTTTTAATCGGGTAAATTCCCACAAAGCAAATAACAAATGGCACTTCACCAACTGATTTGCAAGAAATATCTCCCAGAATTCTAAATGTGTGTCTGTTTTGGTTAGTCTAAATGATTTTTCCAAGGCTCAACTCAAAGTCATTGCTGTGGAGTAGGGATTGATTCAAAGCTTACTCTCCAGCAAATTTTCCATGGTATCTCCAAGGAAGGAGAATGGCCATCTTTTTGCCATGAAGCAGCTATTGCATTTGGACTGACTGCCTTTGGGTTAACAGTACAACTCCTTCAAGTGCCATTAGAGCTTGCTAAATGAGCTAGGGAAATTTTCACAAAAATATCAGTTATCTAACTTTGTAAAATCTTTCACTAATTTTCATTGAGGTGAACATGCTTTCATTCCATTACAAATATATTACATTTGTTATTTCAAATATTTTCACTTTGCTAATAAACATTTAATCATGTCTTTTAAAGATTCTCAAAGTCAATTGCTTACAATATTTATATCTAAACTCCTATGCACTATCCAGTATTTTAAACTATTAAAATACTAGGTAAACTTTCCTGGATATAAAAAAGCAAAATGAATTTAGTAGGAACTTTTTATTCCTATTTTTTCCTCTTGAATTTAGCTATATGTGTGTTGTATGTAGGGATCAGTATGTTATAACATTTTAAGTCAGAGCATACTCCTACAGACATATGTTGGGGAGCTGTGGTGTGTTCACTCTAAGGTATATTTGACAGAATGGCATCCTCAAAATTAATCCATGCTGAGAGCTTCGTTATTATCCAAATTAATCAAATGGTCTAGGAGAAGAATATTTCATTCAACGGTAGCACATTTTAAGGAAAGGCTAGTTTCTGATTATGCCTGAGATATTTCTAAAACAATTTTAGAAGATATTTTTCTTTTATTTTAATGATTTTGTAAGTTTAAAAGCATTTTAAAACAAAACAACTCAAATACAAGAATTTGAGCAGTTGTTTTGTGGCATTGAGTCGGAAGTGACCCATAGCTGACCCTCCAGAGGGTTTTCAAAAGCAGTAAATTGCACACAAGTAGACTGTCCATTCTTCTCGTGTGGTGCAGATGGTGAATTTGAACCAGGTGAATCAGAATTTCAGTAATGTCCCTGATATTTTATCTGGAACAAGATTGATAGATCTCAAAAATTATGCTACAAATTTTCACATCCTTCACTTATTAATAATGACTACTAGCATTAGTTTGGTACTCTAGCATGGGTCATAGTACTTAAGAAAGAAGAAGTCTATGAAAATTTTTGGATTAAACATTTTTTTTCTCATATAATTGTTTCAAATAAAGTTTTTTCCCCCTTTTCTTCAAAGTAATTTATGAAACATTACTTTTTAAAAGTGATAATTTAGAAATTACCTTGATATAATTCAATAGTTTGTAAAACATAGGGCATGTTAATAATTCCTATTTCTTTTTGTCAAGCAGAAAAATAATACTATCATGTTATTTTTCTATTCCAGGTAAAATGAAAGACACCATAATTTAAATTTATTAGTGAAGTAAAAATATACTATGTGAGTTTCATTACATATATTTGTTATAAAATTTATTTTTCTCAATGTTGTCAAAATGCTATATTTCTATGAATATCTAGCTAAGATATACTTTCAAATAACTTATATTTTCCATCAAGATTGTATCCTCTTTATTTCCCATTAAAAGATAGCTCAATTGTAACATCCAAATATAGAAAAAACCCCCAAACAAAACAATTTTGATATTACTTCCTCAGGTAGTAAATGTGGTTGAGATAAACCTTTAAGCATGTGATGCTCATTGAACAATGTAATTCCTTTACCTCAGCTGGTGACTGATTTATATCAAAACAATTTTTAGTTTGGCAAAGACAATATACTACATTAGTTACACACAAAAAAATAGTATAGCCAAAACAAAAAGATGGTCTGCTTTGGTAAAAGCAATGAAAATCAAGTAATGAAATAAAATTAAATAATGAGCAGCATAATATTATCAATGTACATGGCTTAGGAAAACAGGGTTATTTCATATATATTGCTGTTGATGGTAAAAGGGATGTTGTGTGTAAATAATATGTTTGTGTGTAAAGCTCAAAATATTGAAGAGAACTCCCAGGTTGAGGCATATATTCTTAGAAACTCTTATTAGTGTGTTTCTTGCTAAAAAGGTCAGGCAGTAAGAGGCAGTAAGTCACAAGAAAGAAAGACTTTATTGGAAAGTCATTGTTGAAATAGTTTTACATATTTTCTCTCCCATCCAACAATATACATGCAGAACACTGAAAAAGAAATATAAATGAAACCTGACTTTTGACCATCAATTGTGAGTTACAAAGTTTTTGCATGGGAATCAGAGGTTATAATAAGGTTGAATGGGAGACGTAAAAAAATTAAGACACACAGAAACACACATATTCATTTATTACTTCATTATCAGTTTATATGTCAATGTATAGACAAGGAGGACACTAGATTGGTATAAAAGAATTAATACTGCATCTGTTAGTAATTTTTCCATTACATTTCCATGGAAATTATCATGGTCTTGCCTTTCATTACTTGTTATTTATCTCTCTGTTGTCAAATAAAATTCTTTTTTGCTATGGAAATTGAAAAGAAGCTACATCCTTTATCACAGTGGAGTTTGCCTCTCAATGTGTCTTTTCTAGTGTAGACGACTGACTATGTGAAGGGGCAGGATTGTGTGAGACATGCTAGCCTATCCACAAAATTTACTACCCTCCCATTCCACATAGTGAAGAGATTGAGATTGTTTACAGCTTCAGTTTGCTCGGCTTCACAGTCAACACTCTTGGCACCAGCAGCCAGGAAATAAAAAAAATGTATTGCGATGGGAAAGTCTGCTGTTAGGGACCTCTCTA